TTTTGAATATTTTTTTGTTATTTATTGCGTAGTAAATGACAGGATAATATTATGTAACTATGATCTATTGAAATCATTAACTATAAATAGATTTTCATGGTTAACCTGTTGTGGACAAATAGATTTTTATTATGATGAAGTATTTTCCTTTTTAAAATATTAAAATCTTATTTAAAAAGTATACCATGTCAGTCCATCATATGATTACTAGATAATTTTAGATTCTCCTTTACATAATATGTCATAATTTGTTGTTTATTCGTCGTATAATATTATTATTACATTTTTAAATCCCTAAGCTTTGACTGCAGCTTATGGATCATAAATAATCCAATGTGAAAGATTATAGACGTTAAACTAAAAATATGAAAACAAATATTAAACAACTCAATAGAAAAATCACTAAAAATGATGTTATGTATTTGTCAGTAAGATGAAATTATTACCAAGCAACTTTAATATTTTGAACAGAAAATTTCTCGTCGTACGCGTTCAACCGAAAATAAAAATGTATATTATACGATTTAACGATTTTAATATAACATTTTAGTAATATTGTATATTTGTGTAAACGTGTGAGATTTAAGGTAGGCGGGAATATAAAGGCCCACAAGTATTGTTCATTTATAAACTTATTTAGTGATAATTTGTACTTTGTATAGTGCAAATATTACATTTCAAAATAAATTACAGAAATTTTTTTAAAATACTAGATATATTATTAGTAATTTATGTGAAAACGGCACCTATATGTATTAATAATAGTAATTACTAGACCATTTCGTTGCGATACGTATTTTTGAGTATTATTAGATGATATGTAAACTATTTTCTTTCTGTAAATGACGACAATAACAATTATAATAATAATTACAATTTGCAATTTAATATTTTTTGTAATTGATATAATTTTGCTCATTTCGTCGAATTTAATTAAACTAGATACACTTAAACGCGTAAACGAATATTTAAATACATTGAAAAAATATACTGGGGAACCAAGTATAATATCTGAAACAAAAATCACCTCAGTGGAGTAGATGTATGGATGTATGTGAGCCCAGAAGTAATAAGAGCTCTGAGCTATGGTCTCTCGATCCCTAGTGTCTTGGGGTTTGGAATACACACAGGTCACAAATATTTTTTTTGCTCAGAAATACCGAATTAAAAAACATACACGCGAAAAGACATCGCATACACGTCGTACATATTATTGTGCAATATCGTAGAAAAATTCATCGCTCCGGCTTTCCAATAATATTATTCTACACGCACACGCCGCGTATTGTATTGACGCAGTGAGAATCGCGGGAGATCGAAACATTCGACGGCGTTAATTATTATTGCTTTCGCGTCGGAGTGTATCTAATAATAATCGTTCGCAATAGTATTATTATACATACAAGTGAGTATAGTATATATATATATATATATATATATATATTGGCCCGTAAAATCCGAACGCGCCGTCGCACATATCATAATAGTGAGTCAAAATGGTCAGTTATGGGAGGGAACAAAACAAACCACAATGAAGACACATCGAACGGCTATATTATCCCGCTACCTATTGTTTGGCGTTTATAAAACAACGAAGTCGGATAGACGCCGAGAAATCGCGATGCCTATGAATGCGAATAATTAGCGATACATCTGCTACATGATATATTATATATCATAGTATTAAACACGGTATGTACAATGTGTACGGCGATCATTGATCGCGTATTGTGCGCGGGGTTATTACACAGTGTTTTTCGAAATTTAATTAAACATTAATAATAGTTGTAAAACGTCAGACATCTGCATTATTTATAACCGACAGTAATATCATCGTAAATAATAAATCGTTATTATAAGCCATGCACAGTGTGTAGTCCCTCCCGCGGTACCACGACGACGACGACGACGACGACGACGGGTTGTACGGCGATCGTTTCAGGACGTCTTGACGGCAATCTAATATCACCTCAAACCACTCGTGTATTATAATGCATGGGTATAGTAGAATGTTATACATTATAATGTATGCGTACGCGTATTACTACATTACCGGGAGCGGTGAATTCGTGTACATCGTGCCTAAAATATTTATAACGAAATAAACCGCTCTGCGGGATGATCGCCGAGCGTATGGTTTGGTGTTATACACAATGGACCAATTAAAATGTCGAACACATTGTTTTGAGCCGTTAAGACCGTCGACTTGGTTTTTATTTATTTATTTTTTTTTTTTTTTCCATTCCATTTCGGTCGTCGATGGTACAATAGGATATCGCGTCCATTGCGCACGCCACTGACGATGTGTCCGTAACCAAATAAGTCGATGACACGACTAGTGCCGCCCTAGGTCGAATCTATTTATTTTACTCCTATCGAGATGGGACGAATGCCGAAAAATAATCGTATTTTACATATTATTATAATATATAATATTATAAACGTTAGCGAACGAATGGTATTTCGTGACAAACACAATACGTTGTTATTATTATTATTATTATTATTATTATTAGCGCGCACTGTGCACTGTTTGAAATATTATTTGTGCTCGTCGTGTTTGTACAGCGTGCGTACGAATGTTGTGAGTACAAATACGACCATCAGCCCCATGTTGATTCTTCGATCGGCTCAGTTATTCACCTCCTTCAAACCGGAAAAGTAAAATTGACTTAACAGCGCTATACGTTCGTCTGTCATGTAAAATAATAAATCAAACATCGAACAAACGAGTAATTTACTGTGTACATACAATTAATCAGTACTCGTATTTTACCACATGATGGGAAATCGATTATCGTTGTATTCGCCCATGCGTTACTAAATACGTACTTTAATTGAACAAATCGTTTGCTATATAAAAAAAATTACACGTACGAGTTCACCCGAGTTGAGTATCGTACACATTTGGTTCATTTCTTATTTCTGTTTATGAATATTGAATAGATTGTATCGTATTGACTTTTTTTATACCTAACATTTTTTTTCCCAAATTTATTCTGTCAGTTTATCGTCATGATTCTCACGCCACCACTCACTGTACCTTAGAAGTATTTTTTAATATTCATGCGATAATTTATTAAAAATAAAACAACTTTAACTTCATAGTTATAGTAATTATTAGAGTTAGTTTTTATCGTATTTTACGTGTTAAAATCTAATAAGCTATTGATGCAATTATACTTTAGACATATAAGTATAACATAAAGAAATAATTTTTTATACGATATTATGTATTTAATACTTATACGAAGAAGTATGAAAAAAAAAATCGACTCGAGTATAGAGAAACTATAGCGAATTCCAGGAGATCTCATTAAATCTGACGGACAAGGTGGTGAATACAACGATGTCTTACAAACATCGTTAATAGTAAAAAGGATAATAAATAACAATATAAAAATTACGTCGATAATATAATTAAATGTTTAACCGCATTTTCATTTTTCTTTTGAAGAGCAAAAAAAAATCTATCAGTCCGGTTTTACCACTCTTCTTCGTGGTCAAGTGCGGCGTTTAATAGTAACCCCATGGCCGCCTACGGTACAGACGCTATTAACACAAGGTCACGTCCTTGTCTTGCAGCAATGTGACAATTTTTTTTTTTATAATTTATTATTTAAAGGGATAATACAAGCATTATATGGTGAATCATTGAGAACTGAAAGTTTTTTTAGAGTTATCGTTTATAGTTTATATTAGTATATCCTCATTGTTTTGTATTCGTATGTGGTTAGGTTCATTATGGTTATTATAGGTATGATGATTGTTATGTGTAAGAGATAATAAATCTGTAAATCAATTATATTCATGATTTTTAAAGGTATATTGGTAGTTGAAAAATAAAAATAATTGGTTAAAGACAAGTGTCTAATTGTTTTCTTGGAGGTTTTACTCGTTTAAGACGTGCAGTTAAAGTAACTGATTTTTCATTAAAATAGTTTTAAATGAACATTTTATTTATCTATTTAAGTATTTAAGACTATTAAGAGATCTAAAAATTACAAAGTGAAAACATTTTATTTTTACCTTTATCATTTGGAGAAGGTGAGTACAGATTTATATATCTGAAGACTCTTTATAAACAAACACGAATTGTTATTGAAACTATTATTAAGTTTTTGATGAAAATAAAAATTTTATGCTTAATGAATCGTGAAATACAGTGGTGTATCTAATCATAATTGTTTTAATAATTGTCTAACCGGTGCAAACTGTAGACTGTACCAAATCATAAATCGTAAGATATAAAATTATTATAAATATACTATCATACCATATCATTTGGACGATAACAAATCAATAAGAGTTCGTTATTTACAATTCGAAAATAACGAAAACGGAATTTTAACAATGTTGCACGCGTATATTATAATATATTGATCGATAATAAACAAACTTGGATATTACGAGTATATCATATTATTATATTATATAGTGTTTGACGAGTTCATAATTGTGCCGTCTTTGTGTCGTGTAACTATTATTGTATTCAAATTGGTCATTGCGATCGCAGTATCATTTATTAACCATGATATACCGAGAGATATCCAGATTTGGGTAGATATTAACTTTTGGACACGACACGACAGATGACATAGTTGATATAAAGATACTGTAGTCTGTAATACTGTCGTCGTATTTCGTACGCATCAATAGTGATTGTTGATCAAAATACTCTTGTCATTAACCAAATTAAATTATATTGTTTTAATAAAACGATTTCACATTTTAGACGTCATTAATTACAACATATAAGTACAATCAATAAGCATTTTAATATTTTCAAATATTTGCTATATACAACGTAGTTACGGGTTAACCACACTGAATTACTCGGAATACAGACAATACAGTGACGGTGTAATAGCGATAATAATATTATACCTTATGAGTTATGACTTTATGAGTATTTTTATGTAACATTTTTTTTTATACCATTTTAACACGGTTACGGCCGTGGTAAATTTTAAATGACAATCGTATTATACAATGCTTACCGCGAGGTTTAACGGCTTCATTTCAGCGACGAGCAGTATACGGGTAGACGAGAGCGCAACGACCAACAACCGATTGATGATTTACGGTCCTGATGCACTTGACCGAACGATGTAGACTTGTGATGACGGTGCTTATGGGCGCGAGCGTACGACGTTATGTAAAAACGCGTGCGACTGAGATGATGGTCGGAGTGGTCGCGCAATGCATTTGCGGGCTCACGGACAACGCAGAAGAAGAACCCACTCGGCGGCGATTCGTGCGACCGATCTGGTAAACACAATTTCCCCCCCACGACACCACCGCCGCCAGAGTGGCAGATACACGAGGATCACGGTAATTACTATAGAGGTGAATCGTACTTAACACAATAAAATTTGTATATTGGTACGTGTAAGTGTATCATTATATTATTATATTCTATAATATTATGTTGCGTGTAAGAGACGCTTTAGATTTTGCAGTGTACAGGTCGGCTGCGTGGGTAAGACAATGATAATATTAAAATGTCTTCCCCCACCATTCATGTCGCAGCGCAAAAACTAGAGACGCAAGTCTCATTCCAACCGATTGTAATACATTATTTATTATAATATTGTACGTTTTACACTCATGCACGTATTTTATTTTATTAATTATTACAATATTTATCGTATATTATAAACGATTTGCGGGAAAAATGTCAATCAATTTATACATAATTTTTTAATGATAATTAAAGCCCAGATTTAAATTCTCTAGAAACAATCGAACACTTTTTCTCTAAAACTCCGATTTAACTCATCAAAAATCCCATTAGAAAACGACCTACATTTTTGTGGTATAGACATAAAAGTGAGAGGATAATGATGATTTAACTTTTGACGTTTTTAACACTTTTTACCTTAACTTAATTATAACAATAATACAAAAATAAAATGGCAAACTTAGGCACGCAAAAAATTTATTTTACTCGTTGCTTTATTTTTTACACTGAGTTTTTCACGGTTTTTTTTAATTACCATTATAAAGGTTTACCTAAATATTAATATTTAATACAGAATTATTTAAAATAATTTACCCAATTTCAAATAATTATATATTTTTAAATTTTAGCTTTAGAATAATATATAATACATTAAAATAAATAATTATATTTTAAATGTATTTAATGCGGTACTTATTAATGTTCTATGTGGCTACCCTAAACTACAATAACAGTAACTAATTAAAACTTAAATTTCATTGTAATTTAATTCACTACTTTTTTAACTCCACTTTGGGTGACGACAATGGTGCCTGGTGGTATGTACCTACATAGTATCTTTAGACTTTAACTTGTCTAAGCTTAAAGAAGTAATCACATAGTGTAAGATCAAGTTATCTAGGAAGCTAAGTTCAAAACATCGAATGATTAACTATTTATTATGATATTTGTTTAGCATAAGAACTTACGAATAGTTATATTTTCACAACTGTAGTTCATTTTCAATGTTATTTAAAATAAGTTATAATGCTACAATGTTTAAGTTGTTATATAATGAAATATCACTACATTCTCATGACAGTTTCAACATTTTATTGTCATCATTTGTATTAGTCTCAAACAATAACAATTAAAAACAGAATATTGATTAATCTGGACAATAGAAGTTTTGATGAAGTAAAACGCATTTTTTTACGGTCGACTTACAACAAATCACACATCTTAAAGCAATATTATCTTCTCCCATTTATTTTATATTAGTCACGAGTGATACCATCTGATACCGTCAATTCGTTTTATACTGAAAAACGAACATAATATTACCGTTATGTCTTAACACATTAATCATGTATTACTTTACCTGCGTTTCATTATTTAAATTAAACATGAGGAATTCGTTTTTCTGTACAGCTTTTATGGCATCTACTGTGACTAAACTTATAATTACACCTTAGAAACAACGTCGTATAATAATATTCTCGATTACTGTATGTATGATGATAAATACTGATGCGTATTCCACATCATAAATTAAAAATATTCATAAAAAATATTGAGGAAAAAATTAAAGAAAAAACATCAACTCAAATCTTATAAATCAAATTAGTCTAGTTAATCGATCAATAATTTACATGTGCCGATTATCACTATATTATATTCTCATACTGTGGGTTAAAGGATTTTGAATACTAATGTATTCACTAAAATATGATAAATGTAACCTATTTTTTTTTTTTTTTTATTTTTTTTTTTTATTGTAGCCTCATTACTTTTAAACATCTAAATAATAATATATATAAATCATTTTAAACATTGTAATACATGTGTATTGTTACATTGGTCTAAATAAAATCTATTTTTTAATTAATTTGGATCGTGATTTCTTTAAGTGAATTTAGGTCGAATACAACTATTATTGCTAGAAGGTATAAAAATTAAAGATAATTTGTTCTCGAGATTAAAATAATTTATTATTTAACCAGCCCTAAAAATAAAGTTTAAGAGCTTAATCTAGTCTATAATATTAGTTTAAGTGAATAAAAAACAGTATGTTATAAAAATATATATTTTTATATGTCATGCATTTAATTATTAATTATTAATTAATGTAATAAAAATAGAAAAATTAAAAATATTAGAAATTATAGAATTCATTTTACTACATTTTTTTTTATGCTAAACCTTCTTAAAAATATTATAATTTTGTAGATCTATTAAAAATAATTAGCAAATGAAATAAATATAAATTGTAATATAACTTTTTGACCATGCGTTAAAGTCTAAAAGTAATAAATAATAATAATGAAATTTTCATTGAAATAATAGTATTAAAAATATAAAATACCTACATGTATTTATTAATATGAAGTAGGCCTTACTAGTCTATGTACATTGTACATATTATATATTAAAATTATTACACCATTACCAATGTACATCATTTATAAAAGTACTTCTTAGTTTTATTTTATAAAATGTTAAGATTTGTATTAGCCTATAAACATAAATAACAAATATGTAATAAATAATAAATTCTAACAAGTATTCAATGCTGATAAAGTTAAAATTTTTAATGATTATATATTTTTTTTAAATAATCTTACCTAGATACTTATTTTATTTATATTATTTAAAATAAAGTATGTGTAAATTAATGAACTAAACATTATCAGTTCTAAAAACATCGGGAATTAAAAATAAATATTGTAAATTTTGCACAAATTAAGATACAAATATCTATATAAAAAATCTTACTATCTATTGATATACAAGCTCAGTAAACGTTCAGATATACCTACCTATCAATCAACCATGTATGGTAGGATTTTTAAATTGTCTTAAACTATATATTCTAATACTTGATATTTTCATCTGATAAATGATTAAATGATGACCTTTACAGAGTGAACTGAAATATTAATTTATCTATACAATAGAGGAAAGAAAGTCGATGATGTTTTCGTCAGATTTTCTATGACGATATGTAAAAATTAAAACATAAACGATAAATTTCTCTGCATAAGAACAATACAACTAAAATTGCAATCCGGCTATCTTCAAACGATGCACATTGTAGCTGGAGTATGAGGTTTCTGAAAATAATATAAATACGTATATAGTATATTATATATTTCATTCTGAAAGGTATATATTTATTTTTGTTGATTGATAATTATATGTTAGTATAATTCGACATTGCGTGTTTATATATATAGTTTCAATATCGTGTAAAATATAACACCACATGATGCGAAATCAATAAGCCAATAGGTCCACAATTATAACGGAACCCATAAGTAGGTATGAAAATTGATTTAAAAATAAGGTGCAACCAATCACAAATGATAGGTTTATATTGTGTATTCAACTACTAGCGTTTTTCAGTGTACCGTAATCTGAAAACCGGATAATTATTATATAATTATCCTTTTGATAATGAAAAAATTATAAATTGACTGTAAAATATTTATATACTAATAATTAAATAACATATTATTATTGTAATCATAAAGTATGCCAATGATTTGCATAAATGTTCGCATATTATATGATAATCAATATATTGTGAATAAGTAACCTGTAGGTATACATAATAATTTTAGAAATGAGTTAAAAGTTCTAATATTATAGTAAGAATCTTAGTTACTTCCAACAGTAGTCAATGTAGCAATGAGCAAACAAACAAACCGCAAATTTATTTGGAATCACATTAAAATCATTAAACACATTAAAATAAGACTAAATATAATACTTAATGAGTGTTGACAACATTATTGATTTGTTTTTATATATTTCTAATATTATGTAATATAAATGAATTTCAGAATAAAATTACACGATTATCTCGCTAACACCATTGTCCATTATTATAAACTGTCTTAACTATATTTTCTGTTAAAGAAACTATGTCTAACTCTGACCATAAATCTATTAATTTGTCATTACAATCTGTTAATATTATAACTATAATATTTTATTAAAATTTTATTTTTTAACATTCATCAACTTATAATTGGTTATTCTACTATATAGACAATATAAAATGTTATGTAATTTTGCATATTATGTCAAGTTGTAACTTATTATGACTATTGGAAAAAGGTTATTAAATCAAATTTAAAAATATACAAAATTTTAAAATCTAACTTGTCTTTTGTCAACCTAAAATTACTTAAAACAGCCAGTAGATTTAACAATAAAATAATATCTGTTAATATATTTACATACTTTAACTGTAAATTTTAATTAATTATTAATAATTCATTTTACCATATAAACAGGATTAATTGATATTTATTAATTTTACATTTTTAAATCCCTGCAAATCAAAAACATCAGAACGACAGTAACTGTTTCGGCTGTTTTTTGATTTTTACTACCTAATTGATTTTTTTTTTATACATACATTTTAATTTAATCATGGATTATCATTACAAGGATTCTGAGATTTTTTTATTATTGAAACTTTGTATAGTAAGGTAATATATGAATGACATTTTTTATTGTATTTATATGAAAATAAATCTTTTTTTTCCCAAATGTATTATATATCAAATCTTTATATGTCTATAAAATATATGAATGTCTAAATTAATTAATTCTTTACTTAGCTTAACTTTTAAAACACCAAATTTGTTGTAATACAGTATATATATATGCACGTTTGATAATAGTTTAGAGTACAACATCAAAATTAAATGTAGTTTTCAGTGCATCTGCCCACTCGGTAAATTTAATTTAATTCAAATAATATTACTTAATATATTATATATGTATGTACATTTAAGTGCGGACAACATCACAAC